GTTCAGTGTAAGACTTTTTTTTCCCTACAGGGAGTGGTAAGTAGGCTATATATTAAAGTGAAAACATAATGCCTCTAGCCTCTACATTGTTGTTAAACTTTGAGTAGTCCCTCTTTCCATTGGTCTGTTGAGCATGACTGTAAATAAACCGTGAGGAAAAAATGGCAGTGCAAAATCCCAGGGACAAGAAGTGTGCTCCTTTCACATGCTTCAATCTTGCCTCCAGGATGCATATCCATTTTTTCCTCACGGTTTTCTTTTGCTTCATGCATGATGGACTAAGCAAGAGGACTAAGGACTCGTAGTCTACGTCTTTGTATGTGACCCCTAGAAGATCTTAAAATGTTGAAAATGAAATATGCATCCCACAACCGAACACAACTTGGATCTACATAACAAACACAACATCTAAAAATGTTATTATTGGCCTCGTTCGGCTCCATTCAACAGCTCAGTTTAGGATATCCAGAGAGAAAAAATGACCATGTGAACATTTATAGTATTCACAGTATGTCCTGTTTGGGAGGACACATGAAAAATACTGTCCAGTCCAAAGACATACTGTGGTGTAGCACCACTCAGGTTCAAAAGCTCTGTTCACTATCTTCATCCAATGGCTGTGTCATTAAATAAAACCATTAAATTTAAAACTATTGGGCAAGTGTCTTTAGATGGGATTAAGACTACAACATTAGCTTTCCTTCATTAAAACTAAGTTTAAATAATAGGGCTTGCCTTACAATAGCATGCCCCAGTGTACCAGTGTTGATTGCACAGTTGGCATAAACAATTTAGCTAACATATACCAGTTTGTACTTAACTTATGTACTTTGTGTGTGTTTTTAACAGAGTATGGTAGATGAATCTTAAGATTTTCAGTATATATAGATATATATAAAAATAAATGACTAGAAAATAGTAAGTTGATTTCTAAAAAATATACAAATGTACACAATCATCAAGTTCCAAACATAAATAACTGTACAGCGAGAGAATTTAATAAAATATGCCAACAGACAAATTATGTTAACAACAGAAGGAAATTCTGACCATAAAAGAAACAGACAGTGCATAAGAAGGTACTAGAATAGCACACTGTAATAGTCTATGGTTGAGAGCTAAGCTCAGTGCATTCACCTCAATGCCATCCACAATTCAAGTTGTGTCTAGAGTCTTTGTGTCTACTTAATTTAAAGTGCTATTGTAAAACTCCCTGTGCTACTAGCTCTCCGATAACATCAGAGTATTTCATACTTATAAGATAAAAATCTCTTGACCTTAGCAAGATTGGTTGACTTAACCTACCAAGGCAAAGTCATATTTCTTTTCAATGCCCACTCTGTAAACATATTTAGATCTTGTGTTCTGGAAGCTCTACAAAGGTTTTGAGAACTGCTATACATGTATGTGGCTTCTGTATTCACTATTAGGTACAGTAACAATCTGGAGCTTCACTTATTTCTGGAAAGCACTTTTGAAAATTACATTCAGTGCCAACAAATTTACTGTAGTGTGTAGCTGACTGTTTTTGACAAATCAGCTTTTAATTTCTAGGAGTAGCCTTACGGATTCAAAGTATTGTCAGCTTTGGATTAGGTGTGTGAAAAAAGAGAACTGACAACTTTTTGTAACAGCAGCATTGAAACAGGTACAATATTTATATCCTGCTACTCAACCAGAAAATTGACTCAATTACACATCTCATTATCTTAGAACAGTGTGAGGCCCTTAAGAAACAAAATTTATTACTGAGCACATCAATCAAATCTATGAAAGGAAAATAATGAATATTGCACACATCTTAAACCGCCGCTTCTATCTATAGTTAGCAGTAGACACATTACTCAAGCTGGAAAAGTGCATAATTATGTCAACAAGGGATTTTTGGGCAGTAATTTCTTAAAATAAATCTTACAACTGCCCTCTTTCAATGCATAAAAATTACTGTTGTTAAAAATTAAGAGACTTTCCAAGCAGGGGGAAAAATCTCTACCGCAACTTAATTATTCAGCAATTCAATATATAGAGTAAAATTTCAATAAATGCTCACACTAAAAATTTGCATGATGAGAGAATTAAAATCTTATCTCGCCAGCTTCTACCAGTAACATTCACCTTTCAGATAAAGATTTCAATGAAGATAGGCTTTGAAAGCCGATAAAGCTCGCACAATTATGAAGGCTAATGAAATTCATGCCTGGCTTTGCAGGTGACAGAAACCTAGGCCGAATTAAACTTAAACGAAGAACCTTTTCGACAGTTTAAGTTGGACAGCAGTGTTATACAACCCAAAAGATTGTCACATTTAAGTCACTTTTTCGAGGATGTTAACAAAATTTTTATTTTCCATCCGGAGAAAGAATACGCAAAGCCACGAGCTCTGGAATTGAGCTCAAAATCTGACACTTTTTTGCACGCACGTCTCGCGCAGAAGCTCGGTGTTAATCCGATTTTCAAGCCGCACTTTACAACAAAGAAAGTCATGAAAACGAAACGGAAACGCAAAAATTACGATCCAAGCATTGCCAAGTAAGATATACAACGCCTACACTACAAATAATGATGCTAAAATATAACAGGATCCAAACATAAACACACGGTAATTCTTCAAAACACTTACTTGTTGAAGAGGTGATTGTCCACGCGAAGTTTTGTGAACGCTTTGAAGTCATCAGGCATTAACATGGCTGGATTGTTCACATGCGAGAGCTCGTTGATCTACAAAAAGCACCAAGCCACTAGCTTAAGGCTAAAATCAAAATAGTTTGTCGAAAAAAACAAACGCAGAAATCATGCTTACCGAATGACTGACTCCCCACATCAACACGCTGAGGAGCGGATTTTTGGAGCGAAAGACTTTCACTTTCTGGCTCATAACCCTGAATCTCTTCTTCTTTTTCGTCTTTGTATGACTAGACATCTTGAATAATAGTTTTTACTACCTATAAACGCTTTGTTTTCGGCTAAATCATGATGGAGGTGGCGAAAAAATCCTCTAATTTCTGGGTCGGTCGCAGAACTTCGCTTTAGCAGGATCGGACAATAAATATATTCCCACCTGATTGAGACTTCCCATGATGCAAAGCAACTGTGGAGGAACTAAACCGGACATGTGCTAGGGAGGGGTAGGCTAGAAAATGATGTCCGGAACAAAGATGTAATCTTTTACATTCTTTTCCCGTGAACTACAGGTACGTACTTTATGATGGGCCGCGCTAGCCAGTCTTATCCATAGATTTAGGCTCATCAAGAACAAATCGTGCGACCCATATTGAAATCGACGGGTAAAAATCTGGTTCTAATATCTAACAGTCTAGAGCAAGAGAAAATGATCATGGTCTCCTGTATAGAGGTAACAATATGGCTTCAAAAAACGATGATCTTGATCATAGATCATAGTCTCTTGATGGCTTACGGTTACCTATCTTTCTGGAGAAACGAAAAACCATGTTGTCAAGTTGCCTTAAGTAATCTGTTCTTTTTTTTTTTTTTTCAAGAGATAAACGAGAAAAATTAGCTACGTTTTCAGGTTGATTGGAAAATCGAAAAACCTCTTTACTCTGGGTTGGTAGGTTGAATACCACCAAGAAACCGAATGATCTGACTCGCCATTTTGATCGTAGTTCACATCGGATTTTCTAGCGTATTGGTTGAAAAGAAAAAGGGAGAAGCTGCATGTTTCCCTGGCGTCGAAAATCCGGACTAACCCACTAATGAATTCGAAAGTTTGTAACCGCATGTACGTCTTTCCGCAAAATACGTCCAAATGCTATTTTACGGGAAAACTCCTCCTACTCCACGGTCCTCTTACTGTCAAACTCACCAGTGAGATAAAGGGTCTGTGATAAAGGTCTGTTCAAGAGAAGCTTTCATTTGTGTTCCTCGCTGACCGCAGGCTCGTTTGCTATGGCCCCGCCCATATATATAAGTAACGTTCTGTCGCAAGTCATTTGTCTCCACTTCCTCAAGTCCTCAAAATGAGAGACGAACCTGATGACGACCTTTCACTGGTGGAAATCGTTTCCGCGAACACTCTGCCAAATTAGAATTCAGGAAATGTCTTAGTGCCTACAGCCGACAGCTACAGCGAATTTCATCGAAAAGGACCTCACGGAATCAGCTTTCGTTTTCTTAGAACGTTTTCGAAAACCGCGTTGCTGAACCCAAGTAGTTTAAGGCCTGGGTCAGGTGAAGTAGAATTATGGTTGGGCAGCTATATCTCTTGTTACATTTGTTTTACCAAGCTGAACTTTTTCCTGATTATAAAACTCGAAGTCCTGCCTTGCCTTAACATATTATTTTGACCACGTGACTTGTCACGTGATTATTTTGCTAAAATTTGGTAAATCGGCGAATTGCTGGCGAATTTTCATTCTATTGATCAATAAATGAGCGTTTGTGATGCAAATTTAAATTACCTAGCTTGCTACGTTTAGAATGATCTCTCTTACCTTGATTTCGTTTATAGAAGATATAAATGGTCAAAAGTCGAATTTTGTTGAAAAAAGGGACCTTTCACCCTATAAAGTTTTTCTGTGAAAAGAGGGACGGTCATTCCAAACGTGAGAGGATGGAAATAATTGACCTGCATCTAAAATGCATTTTTGCAGAATGCTATTACTAAAAACCGCCACTAATTCCTCAAATAATGGCTATTTTCCGCTAAACGTGATGTCACGTGACCTGTCAGAAGTACCAATTCTACTTTAAAATGTTCAGGACGTCAAAACGTAAACCTAACTGTGTGCTATATCTGGTTCCATTGCCATTTATACCTTCAGAAATATAACTAATAAATTATTTTCACCAGTAAAAACCTTTGACCCAGGCCTTAAACTACTTGAGAACCATGCCCAGATAAAGACGTCCATTACACGTTTTTGATATTTT